GAAAGAATTAAATTTAGATGTAGGATACCTATCCAAAAGTTTTCGCAACTTAATCATGTATGATGAAATCATCAAAGATTTGACCTTTTCGAACTCTATCTATAACTCATTATAGGCTCGAGAAACAAAGAGAAGATATGTACGAATGAGATATCCTGCAAGAAAAAGAAGGAAAAGGATTGAATAAAGGAACTCTTGAACATTTGGTGATCTTAGTCATGTCAATATCAATGGTGGTTCATTATTTTGATAAATTATTTCTTCAGAGAGAAGAAGATTATGTAAACACTTACTTGAAATCTCACTTATTAGATTTCATTATGTCTTCCATAAATTTTTCTAAAGAATTCACAATGATATATCTGATCCATATATAATATCATGAAAAATTGATACAATTTTTTGACGGCTACTTAGTATCGGTAATAGGTAGTTTGAAAAGGTATATAAAAATATCAAAATTAGGTATTTGTACCTTATTGAAGTAAGGAACCATGGCATATATAGGGGTTATCCTGGGTTTTTTTCTACCAATTGTGCCCCTCCCCTCACCACCCCTATGGGGATGGTTTATAGGGTTTATAACTACTCCTCTTACTATAGGATGTTTACTTAGCCAACATTTAGATCTGGTTCTACCCAAACTTTTCTGGTTAACCCCAACATTCCCTACTTGTACGATTATTACTAAGCAGTTTTTAGATATTAAATAAACCTCCCTGGAAGATAATTTCAATATGGCTGATTTCTTCTTTTTTGCAATTAGTTTCACTATAACACCTACAACTCTAGCTAATTGTCCACCCTTTCCAAGTGTGATTTCTATGTTATGTATGGTCATGCCCTTAAGGTCAATTACATATTTACATAATACCATCTCAATTCATCCTATTTTATTAGATCCACGCCTAGGCGACTGTTTACCAAAAACATAGGTCTATGCAAAGTCGTAAGACTATGTATGAGGGCTGATGTCTGCCCAGTACTGGAAGGTTAATAAACATTGAGTTTTTTTCAAATCTTTATATCCCGGTTAATGTGTCTTTCTCCTAAGACTCGAAGCGTTGAATTTTCCATCTCGAAGAAAAACTACTTTGATCCCCTATTATAAAAAAAAATTAATGAATAGATCATATAGATTCCTAAGAAATTCTTTAATTTCTTTCAAAAGCATATGATTATTCATCTTTTTCGCACCTTCCATAAATAGTTAGGACATTGAGGATTCATTCAGAAAGGCATTTAGGGAAGCTTTATTTGCCTTTGTCATTTTATGAGCCTCTTCCCTTTGTGTATTGCATCGCCACTCCCTTTAGCAACATCCACCAATTCGGAACTTAATTTGAAAACCATATTTCAACTTCGATGTTTTTAGGATGCTCCTAATAACCAACAAATGGCAAATGCAAGTTCTTCCCTTTTGAATCATATAGATTAATATCTGAAAGAGGTTGACAATAAGTTCTTTCAAAATTAAATATTTGTCCCTCTATTAGAGGTATTCTAGAAACATCTGTGATAGAATAAATAGCTTTATGAATGAATGGGTCAGATCGAATTGGAAAATGGAAAGGTTTGTATAAGCTTTCATTACCACTTTGTGGAAAATCATTAGGTATTAATATGTTAGATACCATTGATTCAATTGGTGAAATAATCTCTCTATAAAAAGACATATATTTTTTCTATCGCCGTATAAAGAAAATATTTTGTTGCTAATGAACAGGATATTGAGGAATTGTCCATCTGTAAAATCATAATTCTTGATATGGGCCTTTTTTCATATTAAAAAAAAAAGAATCTTTTGTTACAATAGAAGCAGAAATGATGTAGATTATTCAAGAATCGAAGTCGATTTGCTTTATAAAAAGAAGATATCAATGAACTTCTATTAAATGGTTTCACAGGATTCAGCCAATTGTCTTGATCGTAGGATATCATTAAGAAAGATGAATCTATGATCATCAAAATACCAAACCATCCAATATAAAGACAGTTTTCAGTGTTGGTTATCCAATTACAAAAGCGACCCTAAAGGCTTTCACGTTTGTCTTTCTAAAAATCCAATCATGGTAAAATCTTGGTTTATTTAATCATCAAGGACTCTCGCTTATTGGTAAATGTCCCAAATAAATCTAGCAAGTAATTAATACTCATGTTAGGTAGAAAAAATGTAGTTAACATGCCTTTTTCCGACGAATCATAATTGATTAGTACTTAAAAGTGCATTTTCATTAAGGTTTTATATCATCATTTTGCACTTGAAGTATCAATAACTCCTTAACTAAAGCATGTTTTATAATAACATATCTAATAATATAAGATACCTTTAATTTATGGTAAATGTTCATTTTAAATACAGGCCTATCACATAAATGAAAGAATTGATTGATGACTTTAAGAAC